ATTAAAGTATAGTTGTCATGTTCTTCATAAAGACAAAATCAACAATTGTTAGCTCAGTCAGCATTACTATTCATGTTCCTTTAAGGTGTGCTATAATAAAGCGTTTCTCAGTGTGCATCATTGAAAACCTCTGGGTATGATAGGTAAGAAATCTTCTGGGTAGAAAAGAGGTGATTCAAAGGACCCAGGAGTTTAAAAGTGCATTGACAAGTCCAGAGGCCCTGTAACACTTCTCAACAAATACTGACAATTCAGGTGACACCTAATAAGGAGGGTGTAATGTTGCCACTTGGGAAACTGTCTGATGCTGCAAGGGATATCATGATAGCTAGTACATACAAGCTTGAAATCTACACAGTGATGATCTTCCCAGCAGGCGACTAAATGAATGGCAGCCCCATCCCAACACACCTTTTCCACATGAACACATGGGGAAAATTAAGATATGCCAATTTACATGCACACATATTGTGAAGCCTGGTCAAAGTCAAGGTCTGATGGCAACATTCTATCTGAAGTGAATGGCACTTTGTCAAAGAAGATATCTTTGCAAAGTACCCGAGGATCAATTCTGAACTTACAATGTAGCAGGGCTCACAGTAGGCTTTCTTCTCCATGGCGTAGAAGGGCTGCCCTCGGAGCTTGTTGTTGCAGATGATGCACGTGAAACAATCCACATGGAAGACCTGGTCCATGGCAGTGCATCCTGTCCCTTCCCCAATGACATTTTCCCCACAGCGAGCGCAGCGGCCTGAAAGAGAGAAGGGATTGGCTGTTAAGAACACACTGAGGAACACTTCAGTCTTGGGATAGAAACCAACACGGGAAAGACAGCAGCTTCGTAATGCCTGCAGCAACAGCAATGAGACCACCACTATCGACATCACCGCCATGAGCAAGATCACCAGGACAGTCACCACTATGCCCTGTAAGGCCAGCAGGATGGGGATTTTACATCCTCCTATAAAATTGAGGAGTTGACTGTCTCAGCCAAAGAGCCTGCAGAAAATGACAGAGTGGAACTCAAGTCGAGGCCAGTGCCCTGACTCTACTCTCACATGGGAGTCTAAGGACAATGGCTCTCGGGATGGTAGGAATTGATGGGATTGACTAGAAAAGTCTTTCTTCTCAGGGAGTCTGCCTGTCTGGTTAGACTGGGAGGAAATGGGGTCCAAAAGCAAACTTCAACTCTTTTCACAAAAGCCCTGGTTGTAAAACCTTTGCATCCAGCTCTTGGTGACAGGCAGGTCAAAAGCCAGGCCCTTTCATTTCCAGACAGCTCTGCCTGCCAGAAAGTTCTTTCTCAGGTTGAGCTGGAATGCTTGCTCATTCAAATGGCTACCCAGTAGTCCCAGTTCTGTCTTCAGGGGATTCATGAAACAACTCTCCTCGCTTATACTTGACACTCTTTAAAATATTACACTTCAGTTAGTGTTGCCTCCAAGTCTGTTCTTGGGTTGAACATCCTTAAATCCTGCAACAGTTCCACACACTGTAGGGCTTGAGTCTCTCATGACCCAGGGTTCTGCAAATTTCCAGCATTCTTAAATGGATTCATGGGGCATCTGGACCACAGATGCACATCAGGTTTAGCTTTAAAATATTCCCATTAATACTTAAATAACAATAAAACATCATTTCAGAGAAATATTTATGTCAGCGAGAGACATTTTGCTGGTTGCAATCTGTCTCTGTATCTGGCTCCATCGTGGGAATCTTGTCAGAGATCAGATCCACATCCAGGTTCCCATCTCATTCTTTATTTCTTCTAAGTAATTACAGGTCACTGGGGATGTCTGCAAGGATCTGCAGGCATTTATAGGTAAGCTATAGCAAATCTAGTGCTTCATATGTGTCAGGCATTTTCTAGGTGCTTTTTATATGTTAAATCCTTTCATATTCACAACAACCTATGTGATAGGGACTGTTATTATTCCCACTTTACAGATGAGGAAACTTAGTCACAAAATGGTTAACTAACTTCAAACTCAAGCAGTCTAGTTTCAGCACTTATGGTGTTAACCACTATGTAATCTTGCTTCTGCCTGGTTCTATGAATCAGGATTGAACACAGATCTGACATTATGGAGAAATTTCTCACTGAATGAAGACTGCTTTCAGCACTCCGTCACATTGGATTGACAACCATTTCACACCTAAAAATAGGAGGGCTAAATGTTTCAACTTGCAGAAAAGAGGAGAATATATTTCTAATCCTCTCTAGTTGCATTTGGCCCTGTAAAAATTTCTTTATATTCTGTTGCAGGATTTGAATGTCTTTACAATATAGTCCATTATCTCTCTCCTAGAAAATAAAAAAAGAGCAAGTGTTTGAAGAATAGTTAAATTCTTGACAACTAAGTCATCTCCACTATAATTGACATATTATAAAGTCAATATATTATTGAAATTTGTCAAAAGGTGTGGTTTTATTTTCAAACTTCTGTTGAAGAGTTAACTTGTACCTGTTTTTATTATAAAAATGTATAACCTTAGAGGGGCATGTTTAACATTATGGATGTTCATTGACTTTAGTAACCAAAGCAGGTTATTTAAAATAGCACTATTTTTTTTGTGATTATTCAGAACAAAACAATTGGTTTACTAGAAAGTTCACTGAGCTATGTTTGAAAAAGATGCTAAAATTCTGAGAACTTCATGGTATTATCTGACAACATTTCATTACAGAAAACATATTGAGGATAACGGGCAATCCATAACATCTGATTTTTAAAGAGTCAACATCAGACTTAGTGCTTAAACTCTTCTTTTCAACTGCTTGTGCGGAAAGATCACATTCATCCCAGCATATACTGATTCTTTTTCCATATATATTGGAAGCCTGTTCACTAAAATTTACATTGTAATATTAATCTGAAGTAGTATTTATGGTATTATCTGTATTACTATTTTTTCCACCTTCAGTGAATCATACTTAAATCACTGACCTCCTTTGGTTGATCTGAAGAAATAAAGCAATACAATAGTAAATAATGAAAAATGTAGCTTTAACATCAGCAGAAAAAATCATACTAACGACATGAAAATATTCTGGGCTGAATGGCACTATTACTAAACATTGATTTAAAACAATTCAACAGAGGTTTTGTGGTGCATGTGATATTTTTATAATGTGATGAATGTTAAAAGAACTTATATGCATAGCCCATGCACAAAGACAATAGTGCAATTAAGGCCAGTGGTAGAGCAGGAGCTGGGTGGAGTAGGGCAAAGGGTGGAAAAATGGGAGACATTTGTAATACCCTCCACAATAAAAATAAATTTAAAAAAGAGTAAGTTGGATTCCTGAGAAAATTATTTCAAATTTAACAAATTTTAAAGTAGTTAAGTGCAGATCAAACAAAATTATTTTTAATTAATTCCCTTTCAGACATCAAACTGGATCCCCTGATAATTCATCAGGAACTACTAATGATCTCTGGTGGAAAAAATGCTTTCAATCAGATGTTATCAACTGTTGGTCATGCTGGTCTACAAGGCAGGTAGGGGTAGCAATTATGATCTAGACCACAATCGCCCAAAGGGTAATATCTGGAGTCTGAGAGTCTGGGCCTACAAGGCTGATAGAGATGGAAAGATTAGAGCAGAGCCTTGAAGGACAGGCTGCAGAGTAAATGTTGGAATTCTCATTCTATTCAAGACATTCCCCAGGTATCTACTCTTTGTCCAGTACTACATTTGGCTTCTCTGTGACATGCAACAGTGGATCAGACAATATCAGAACCTTTTACAGTCATTAGGGGACTATATAGATTCCACAATCACATGAGAAAGTGTCACATGGGAAGGTGCAGTGGAATGTGGGAGGAAAATCACATCTGAGAAGGTTCAGGAAAGTTTTAGTGGGGAAAGAAGTAATTGAGCCCAACCTTAAAGGGTAGAATTTTGACAGGTGGGAATGGAAGAGAAAACTACAGCACAAAAACCAAATGCTTATTGAACCCAAAAATTCTGCAGTGATTTGGTGCTGGCATAATAAGGTTTTGTCTTCTCAGCGATGAAAGCCGATGGGCTGAATTCATAAGGAACAATCTTTTCCTTTATATTTTGGAGAATATTCTTCCAGAGTGGGTCAGGCAAATATCCTGGCCCCAGACATGACCAGCTCTGCTGCCTTCGGTATTTTTCCTATTCTTGGGAGAAATCAGGGACACTAGGCTCGAGGGCAGTCAGTCTGGCACCTTTAAAATCACAAGCACAGAAAAAGAGCGAAGAACAAAAATTAAAAATAGCCCTGCACATCAACAGGACAGTAAAGGTGCCCGAATGTTCCCTTTTTACATGAACAAAAACATTAACCATGGCTTTTAGGGAGGTATTGAGAATGGAAAGAAAGTTCCTCAAGCATAGTGCATTCTTGTCCCTACGGGGGCTCATACTACACATCACTGAAAGCATACCGCACTCTTAAAGCCCTTCTTTAAGACAAACATCTCAGCTCTTTCAAAGGAGGAAAACCAGGGGAATAGTACAGGACTAGCAGGCATCAGAGCATCAAGGAATGATCATTGATTAGGGGCCAGTAGGAATCCCAGGGTCAAGTTCAAATGCAGGGCTGGTATGAGAAGCTTAGCACAGGAACTTAACAAATCCAAGCAACAGTCATACAGCCTGGGGAGAATTTTGTCAGTGAATTAAGTCACCTGAGCAACAACAAGAAAAATGAGCTTGTTTATATATTATTGCTTATTATATATGTTGCTTTATGTCAACCGTGGAGATAGTCGTGAATTCTTCTCATCCATTGCTCCTCCTTTTCCTCCCAACTATAGTAACCTCTGCAACCTCTCTGAAATGCTTCCTTCCCAACACAAGCCTGCTATGTAAATTGAGCTTCATTATCTCCCTTGGGCCATTGCAATGGCTTCCTGATTACTCCCTTATCTCTGGTTTACTTCCTCTTATAAATGGAAAGGCTGTATGGAAATCTCAGTACTTGAGCTAAGTCTGGAAGGTTATAGTTTTTGAACAAGCTGTCCTGAGGAACGGCATGGGCAGAGGGTGCTTTTACAAGGCAATCAACAAAGCAGCAAGGAAGGCAGAGTAATGGAATATGTTTTCATATTTAATGGTTCCCACTTTCTCTTTTCATAATATGAATTTATTTCCTCTACACTATGAAAATAAAGTGTTATTTAGAAATGTTTCTTGGGTGATCAATACACCATTAGGCCATAGACTGTCCTTTGCAAACAATGCTGGCTTTGGAGGTGGGACCAAAAATGTCCATAGCCATTTGGAGAGTTAGTGCTATGGTGATCAGGGGTGACAGACTCCCAAACTCATATATTATTCAATATCAAAAGTAAGACAGTAAATTTATGCAGACATCAAGACACGTCACATGTGTCTTCAAGTCCTCCTCCTTGCTCCTTGATTTATAATAGAAATTTTAGGCATAAGCAAAATTAATATTCTATCTTTAAATATTATAAAGAACTAAAACTTTACATGCAATTCTACAACATATCAGCTTTCTCATTAGATACCTTCTAAAATATATTCTGAACAAAGTCCTGCTCCAAAAGTTAAATCAATAAGATCATATCAGGCTAGGGAAATGATGGTCATGTATACCTAGAAACAAAGCCTGCCCCAATTTATTGTGTATATACCTATAGTGGCCATATATATATATGGCCACTGGGGTTATTGTCTTAAATCATGAACTCCATTAAGGTGGTTGACAAATTATCGTCCACTGAAGATACAAAAGTATAATAGAAAAAG